TATCTCTGTGGTAGGAGAGCTCCTGCTAAGCCACCCCAAGCAAAGGCAACAAAAACAAGCATCAAGTATTCCTTTGTGGACTTTCCCATCCCATTTTACAAGTGTAGTGTGGTTTAGCCCATGCTCATGCTTCATCCTTTACTAGTAAATATTGTGGCATACACATTTCTATTATTCTTTTACTCTCCTGTAAAGAATGCAAAGCCTGGTTATGCAGCTTTGCTGTGATTAGATCTCAATGGAGATTTTTTCCAAATGTTTCTTAACTAAGCTTTCTGATATGCAAAACCTCAAGAGAGGTTCTTCAAATGCTCTCCATTCAAACAGGTTCCCAGCCTTGGTTTCCAGCCTCCTGATTTCAGTGTCACGAGGAGACCAGGCCACTTGTGATCTCTCTCCTTCTTCTGTTTTGCTCCAAATTATTTTGAATATTTCCAAATAAACATTACAAGAATAACGGAGGTGAAAAGCTATAGAAACACAAGGAGTAGGGTTGCAGATGACTATTCTTAAAAATGACCATAACTTTTTTTTTAATATCCAAAAATCTGCTTTTCATTGTTCAGGGGGGAATTTTCAGTAGTCCAGTAATTACAGTTTAACAAGATGTTTGCTGTAAATGGTCAGGCCTAGCTGGAGAAAACAGGATTATAAATTCAATTACTGTAAAGCTATGACCTCGCCTTGACCCCCTTAGACTTTGCATAAAGAGAGGGAGGGGGGAAAAAGAAATGGCTAAGAGGAATGCACGGCTCTGAAGTCCCCAGCAGTGTGACTTAGCGGTGATAAAAGTCCAGACGTTCCCTCATTTGATGGGGTTCTGCCATCACAGTTCATTATCTTAATAGTGGGCATTAAAAGGGAATTAGGTTTGCAAGAGGTAGGGGCAGGTTTTGATAAAAAAAAAATGGAAAAAGAAGTCAGAGGACATAAGGCAGAAATGGCACTAATGAGGGGGGAGGTAGCAGATGCCCTTACGAGCATCTCGCTGGCTTCACGGATTTTTTTCCTTTGGTGCCCCGTTCTGAATTGAGAAGAGCGTTGCTGGTATTGTTTCCTGAAAACTCGGCTAATTCCCCCATGAAAAGATGAAATGGAAGTGTCCGACTGTGGTAAAAAGCAGGCAAACATAAATCAGCTTGGAAACCCCAAGCTCGTGCTCTCAAAGGTCATCAGGGTTAGAGGTTTGGCAGTATTTGCATCCCCACGCAGCCCGACAGAGAGCGCCTCGGCAGGGCAAGAGGGCTTGTGGATGGGTGGAAGCCATCTCTTCCCTAACCATTTTCTTTCCTCCTTTTTTCTTGCAGGTTTATTAATGCAAGAAGAAGAATAGTTCAGCCCATGATAGACCAGTCCAATCGAGCAGGCAAGTCCCAAATAGTAACTGTATTCAAGTCACGCAGGCGAAAACCATCCTCAAGCCATTCACCGGGAGGTCCATTACCTGGTAAATAAATGAGAAATGAATGCTGGGAGTGATTGACAATTAAAATACAACCAGCTTTCTCTCATTACAACCCTAATCATTTTAACATGATTGAAAACATTTTGGTGAAAAAAGACATTCAAAATTCTAAAAGAGAAACTAAAATGATCTACTCCATGACCGGGCTTTCCATTCATGATCCCAATTGTTCTGATTTTTTTTCAGTAGTTGTTTGGAGTTTTCCTTTCCAGCTCTTTTTTCTTCTGTGACCACTCCCTGGTGCATGGCTTGGTGTGGAATTGCTGTAAACTTTATTACCTGTCAAAAGGGCAAAGGGGTCAGAATCGCTTGTGGGACTCAGTAAAGTTCAAAGACATTCAATGAGGTAGAGCTTTATGTGCTTTAATAACCCAAGGCAGCTTACTTCTGAAGTCGCTTTTAATGTACAGGCAAAGCCTCCAGTTCAGGTAGTGGTACTTGTACAGGGTCCTTTTGTCCCTTGACTCTTCTTTTCAGTAGCTGTCTTATGAGATTGTTGAACATTTGCTGTCTCTTTGGGGAAAATTTTTAATTTTTATTTTTAAAGACCTGAAGTTTTCACATGCTGGGTCTGTCTGGGGTCTTAGCTCACAGCTCTGTGTGGGTATTTACCATTGACGATTACTATAGCCCGTTACTCCCAGTTGGTTTTGTTTTCCGAGTGTCTCTGCCAAACTCTCCAAATCCATTGTTGTCCAAGATGCCTTTGGGCCACACTTCCTCTTTGAGTATGTTCGATTATTTGTCATTAGAGGTAAACATCTAGCATGGACATGTTCAGGTCCTGCTCTTAGAAGGCACAGGAGCGTAATTTAACACACTGCAATTTCAGTGTGACTATCCCAGCCATAAAATCTGGCTCCTATACAGGTTTTTGCATTGACGTCAGCAGTGGCAGCAGCTGGAGCCGTGGCTCCTCATGTCTCAAGATTTCAGATTGCTAACTTCATTTCCAAACTTGCAGAAGGAAATTAAGCCAAAACTAAGCATGCTTGTTAGTCCAGCCACTAAATTCGCACAGTAGATGTGTTTCCCTCTTTTTACAGCCAGCATCAATAGCCTGTGGGTGGGGGGGTTGTGTTTTGGTGCCGTGAGAAGAGGTGACCCTTTTGGCTGTTGCTACAAAGTGATGCTCTGCACTTTTCCAGTAAGTCAAGGAACACCTTATAACCCCGACGGACAGCCAATGGGAGGTTTCGTGATGGATGGCCAGCAGCACATGGGCATCCGAGCGCCAGGTAAGCTCCTGGAACAGCGTCACCCACCTATGGGTGGCCTCGGTTGTGCCACCGCAGGTAACCACACCTCTGCCCTGCGCCGCCGTCCCAGCTGCCTGCCTTGCCTCACCTGTCTTCTGCCTGCCTTCCACACCGCTGAGGGAAACCAGGCATCTCCTTGCTGGAGCAGTCCTGGACCCTCTGCCACGCTGTTATTTGGAAAGGGGCTTTTGGCACTATCTGTTGACTTTGCTCATTTTCTGGCATCTTCTTGGATTTTTATCTCCCTCTAGGACCTATGAGTGGAATGGGCATGAATATGGGCATGGAGGGGCAGTGGCACTACATGTAACCTTCACCTAGGTAACCAATGGCAAAGCCAGGGGGAAGTAAGTACAAACGAGGTCTTTGTTCTCACTTTGTCCAAGGGATATTTGTCTTCTTGCATTTCCCTATGTTCTCCCTGCCCATAGCCTCATGCTTGTTCCTTCCTTTCCATCCATCCATCCTACGCCTGGGCTCCTTCAGGTTTTCTCTCCCTCTGGTTCAGCTCAAGCTTTCCAAGCTCCCAAACCCCCCATGCGTGCGCGCGCCGTACATTGACGCTGCCGTACATCGACGCCGCCATACATTGATGCTATTATCCATCCCCGAGCACATGACAAAACAAGGAGCAGCCGGGGAGGTGGGGGAGCCCGTCGTCTTGGCAACAGACTGATTTGCAAAATGTAAGCGGTCTGCAGCAGCGCAGGGAGAGGAAAGAGCATGTCCCCAAAGTGTCATAAATCTGTCTAACCGCAGTTGATGCATGAGTTACATTTCTCCCGCTAACCTGCAAGACACCAAAAAAGCCAAACAGAGACTTCTCATAGCATAGGGGAAAAAAACCACACCAAAAACCAGCAGCTTCACTTAGTTGTGTTTTGGAAGGCAATGGACAAAACTTTGATTTTTTGGGGGGATTTTTTTTTTCAAGTTTATTTCTCTTTGTCTGTCCATCATAATGGGATTACGTGTGGCAAAGGAAAAAGAGAGAATACAAAATAGAGGTGTGCGCAGCAGGCTATGGAGCTTAGCCCAGGCTAATTGACTATATCCAAATTAAGTATGCCATCACTTGCAGTGTGACAAATGGATTTGACTTATTCAGTATACAAAAATAGAGATCATTAATGCAATCTTCAGTGGCAGGCCTTGTGAAGAAAGCCTAGAAAAACTGTCCCAGTTTTTTTTTTTCTCCCTCTTGTCTTTTTATAGGGGAAAATACATTATAAAATTTTTGGGTTTTCTTTTTTTTTTAAGAGTGAAGTGGTTTGAAACACCAATGCACCAGTACCATGTTTAAATGGTACGTGATTCTGTTCCTCTTGCTCTCTTTGTGGAGTTAAAAGAGTTATTTCAGCATCTTTGTTGTGCCCCAAGCTTATATTAACATAGGGTTTGAAGTTACCCAGAGCAAGTGTATTTCGTAGTAGTCTTCTCTGCACTCAAGTCAAAACTAAGTTTTAACAATTAGCTGTGAAAACATTCCTCTGAGCTTGGGAACGCAACAGCCTTATTACCTCATCATGAAAATTTCTAGCTTAGTTAATTTAAATATTGTTTCTTAGTTTCTGGGTCAATTAAATTTAAATGATGTATTTTATGCTTCGTGACCAATTAAATTAATAGGTTATTACAAAAAATATTATCATCTTTTTTGATTAAAGAGCTGTGAGTACAGTATATTTTATAAGCAATTTTCATTAGTTCAAAACTGTTCCTTTAGGCTAGATTAAGCAGCTATTCATTGCTAGAGCCTTGAGACCTGATTCCAAGGTGTTCAGCGCATTCACAGTGTGCTCTTACTTAGAACTAAAGCCAATTGAACCTACTTAGCAATAGCGTATGCCTTTCACCCTTGATGATTATGGAGCTTATAGCTCTCCGAAACAATACACCTGTCAGTTCCCATCAGCTACAGCAATCCAAGCAGAAGGCAGAGGCCCACAGAAAGCAGGAGGTTTTATTGTTTTAGGTCCAATTTTTTTCTTATTGTTCTCTCAAACCCACTGAAAGGTTTGACTGAGTTGCATGTCTGATTTTTTTCGGCCAGAAGTGAGCAGAGGGGAAAGAATTAATTGATAACTGTTATTGATTATAGATGTATTTTTAATGTGTTTAAAAATATGGGTTTGACTTAACAATCATACTTAGTAATCCTATCAATTTCGGCTTCATACAAGGCCTTTGTTCAGCGATGTATGTCCTTGCTGTATAGCATCTATTTGAATGGCACAAATACTTGGGATAGATTCCAAGTGATCAGGCTCAAGAGCTAAACAAATAGCTATTGATAAACCTTGACACCTATTTAACCCATCTCTCCTCCCGAGCCCCTCATTAACTACTACAGACTCCCTGCCTTGTATTCCCAGCATGCTTTTACAAGTGGGGAGACAAAAGCAGGTGTCTGGAGTAAGGTCATGGGGAATGGAGCCCACCTGAGAGCCCTCACAGGCCTTGGTGCCACCACTCCATGTGAAGTTAGTCATCTTCAGGCTGGCTCTGCCTCTGGCATGCTTCCAGATAAGAAATTTCTCCATCGCATATATTCCTGGCCATAAAAACACAAAGTGGTTTTATCTCCCAAAACTCTGTATTTGGAGGGGGGAGGATGTTCTTGTTTGGGTTATTTTTTTTTATTTTTTTTGTCTGGGAATCATTCCTCTTGCCATTATCGTGAGTCCAATTCAACATAAGCAACTGTGCTCGCACACCCATGACTCCACATCCCACCTTGGGCTCAAACTCTGCCTTCCTGTGCCCGAGCAGTGGAGCTTCATGGCCCAATGTCCATTGCCAGTCCCCACCACTCACCGCTGCCTCTTTCTCTCTGCAGGGCTGCAAAGTATGCCAGGGGAATATGTGTCTCGGGGTAGTCCAATGGGTATGAATATGGGACAGCCAAGCTATACCCCACCCCAGATGCCCCCCCATCCTGCTCAGCTGCGTCATGGCCCCCCCATGCATACCTACATTCCTGGACACCCTCACCACCCAGCGATGATGATGCATGGAGGACCACCCCACCCTGGAATGCCCATGTCAGCATCAAGCCCCACAATGCTTCATACCGGCGAGCCAGCAGTGAGCGGACAAGTGATGGACATTCATGCTCAGTAGCTTAAGGGAAATACACGTTGTCTGCAGCGATGGTAGATTTCAAACATTGTCTTTCTTCAATGACTATGGAGTTCTTGGCATCAACTTTGGACCAAGGGACGTTCCAATTCTTCACAGGGACCCTGAAAAGCAGGAAAACACCAACCGAAGTCAGCTTCTGGGGACATGCTAAATACCTATATAAGACATTAATAGAACAAAGAGTGAAATATTGTAAAATGCTATTATACTGTTATCCATATTACGTTGTTTCTTATAGATTTTTTAAAAAAAAATGTGAAATTTTTCCACACTATGTGTGTTGTTTCCATAGCTCTTCACTTCCTCCAGAAGCCTCCTTACATTGAAAAAGAAGCCTTACACTTATCCTGCAAATGACAGAAAGGGCTTATTTGCAGGATTTTTAGAGCATTAAAATAACTATGTCAGGCAGAAGAATCTTTCTTCTATCCTAGGATTTCAGCCATGCACACTCTCTCTCTCCCCCCTCTCTCCTCCTCTCTCTATGTCTTTCTTCCCTTTCTCTCCCTCTCTCTCTTTCTAGCCTGGGGCGTGAATTTGCATGTCTAATTCATTTACTCACCATATTTGAATTGGCCTGAACAGATGTAAATTGGGAAGGATGGGAAAAACTGCAGTCATCAACAATGATCAATCAGCTGTTGCAGGCAGTGTCTTAAGGAGACTGGTAGGAGGAAGCATGGAAACGGAAAGGCAGTGTATTTGAAGCCTAATTGTCACATCAAAGCATCCTTGTCCCCATGCAGCAACCACCACCTTGTACATCACTTCCTGTTTTATGCAGCTCGAAACATGGACTGAAGATTTATTTTTAATATGTTGACTTTCTTTCTGGGCAAGACATCGGTCATGTGTGCATTTTTTTTTTCCATAGTCCCATCATGGAGCATTTATGTATACATTGTAAATAAATTTTGTGCAAAAAGGACTGGAAAAATGATCTGTATTATTGCAATTTTTTGTAAAAGTAGCAGTTTGGTATGAGTTGGCATGCATACAGATTTACTAAGTGGGATAAGCTAATTATACTTTTGTTGTGGTTAAACAAATGCTTGTTGATAGCCTTTTTCTATCAAGAAACCAAGGAGCTAATTATTATTAATAATAATCATTGCACACTGAGTCTTAGAGTTTCTGATTGAAACAGTTTGGATTGTATAATAACTCAAAGCCCAGTTGTAGTAGTTTGAGTGCAGTAATGAAATCTGAATCTAAAATAAAAACAAATTATTTTTTGTCATGGTGACTCCACTGCTTGCAAAATTTGTTTCCTGCCCCCATGCAGTATTTGTAGCCATTCAATCCCAAATTGGGAGCCAAGCAGCTACAAAATTCAGCTGGCTCTGGAGATGTTACCTATAATTTGCTATTTAAATATCAGCTTCATATTTTAAAACTGTAAAAGTAATGCTATACTGCATAAAAGATCTTTCTTGGAACTTGCACTGTAAATCATCAGGTTGGGAACTGTTAATAAATGTAATATCGTAGGGCATTACTGGACAGAAATTTGTAAAAAGTGTTACTCCCCTCCAAAATTATAGTTTTAATACACAGTTTAAATTATTGAGTTTCTTTCTGGAATTGAGCATACTAAGGAAGGAAGAAAATAAAACTTGGAAAACATTGCCCGGGCAATGCATATCTCTAAGGGGGGGGTGAGGTGCTGCTGGGCCCCTGCGAGCGAGAGCAGTGCAGGCCCTCCTCTCCTCTCCTCTCATTAACTAATTTCCTCGCACATTTGTACTTTCTGCACCACAGTCAGCGAGTGAAACAGCCCCAACCTGTGGGACAGGCTGGGAGACCTTCTCGTTTGCTTGAAGTCAACTCGCAGAAGAAAAAAATAAGAGTTACCCGGGGGGAGGAAGAGTTGCCCGGGGCGAGGAAAATGACACAAGTATCTTAATTAAGGCAAAATTATGCTGCAGCCCCCTCACCCCCAGGCCATTCGGCACCTCCCGGCGGGAGGTGTCCCGGGGGTTGCGGTGTCCCTGCTGTCCCCCGCGGTGCGCCGGGCTGGGAAGAGCAGGCAGGGGTGCAGGCAGGCAGTGCAGACCCTTCTGAGTGAAGCAAACCACCAAAAGGAAAATGACACAAGTATCTTAATTAAGGCAAAATTATGCTGCAGCCCCCTCACCCCCAGGCCATTCGGCACCTCCCGGCGGGAGGTGTCCCGGGGGTTGCGGTGTCCCTGCTGTCCCCCGCGGTGCGCCGGGCTGGGAAGAGCAGGCAGGGGTGCAGGCAGGCAGTGCAGACCCTTCTGAGTGAAGCAAACCACCAAAGGGATGTCCTCTCCCCCCGCAGCTTGGATTTCCTCTCTCTTGTTTCCCTTTTTTTTTTTTTAAACTCTGAGTTTTCTTTCTTTTTCCCTCCTTTTCACCCCTGTGTATTTTAAAGGGCTGCTGTACCGCCAAAGAGGCTGCACATCCTTACTCCCTCTTTGTGAGCCCGGAGTAACGACACTTTTCTGCCAAAACGTGAATCAACGGGGCTCAGGTTTTGCCTTTTTTTTTAGGGTTTTTTTTCTTGTTTGTTTTGCTGTGTTTAGTTTTCGGTTTGGTTTTTTTAAAAAATGTTTCTTGAAAGACAAAAACAAACCGCCCTCTCGCAGGCGAGGGCACACGCGTCCCTTCTTGCAGCCGCAGCGAAGTGGGGCACAGACCTTCCTCCGTGGGACGTTTTTTTGGGGGGAGGGAAACACATTTCAGATTAAACCCACTATTATATCCCAAGACATTTAATCAGCTGTAATTATAACACATTCAAAATGAAGAATATGTCTTGACAGTATTTTTATTGTTAGTGTTCATCGCATGATGTTAGACAGCTTCAGAGGCACAGGAAAGAGAAGTAAACGGGTTACAAATAGGGAATTATCCCTCGTTTAGCATTAAAATTCATTTAGATAAAATTGCCACAAACATTTAAATGGGGAGATTAGTTCCCCCTCACGCCTTATTGCACTCTCTCAATGGCTCCGTTAAGAACATTTTACAAGTTGGAAATTCCGCCTTTTCGGGCCGCTCGCTGTTTCCTAGCTACCCTCCTTTCAC